TCTCTTCACTTTCGGATAGGGATTCAGCTTCTCCGCCAGATGGATAGTGTTGGAACGAACGCCACTATGGCCACGCGAGAAGATAAAATTCGAGGGGCAGGGCATGCTGCTCGCTTCGCTGACAGCTGTCTGAAGTCACGTGCCACTGAGTGGCATCTGCGAGAAAATTGTTCGAGATCGGCTCCGAAGAAGTGGCGCACATATGCCGAAAAGGCGATGAGTTTTTACCTGTTACAGAGAAAATGAGCAAACCCAACATATCTGCACGTGGGACGTGGCAACATTTCACTAACATCACTACCATTTTGGTGATATGCGCCATCACATGGTTTTTTGTCAATCTTATCACAACTGCTGTGCTGATAAGGGGATATTGAGAAAAAATTTACGAAGCTCTGTGTAAAAAATAATATGATTACATTCGAACACTCATTTGTGAGGGAGACATCAGTATTCTCATATGTTTAAATAATATTCAGGTAATCGACGGCGGCGATTTGAATATCAATTTCATGGTGATTCTTGGTGCTCAAATATTAACGCACGAGAAGAAAAAGATGGAGGGGAGTCATAAGTAAGGGTTGTTTCCAAGCATAACACGTTTTCCAAATTTCTTAACCATTAGTTTTATCTTAGCAGGAATTTTGTGCTTTTCGTTTCTGTTGATTTCTTGTCGGCAGGGTGAGCTGTTTTATAGTTACTCCTAGGAAAGAGGAGACGGCAGTGCCTTTTTCTACGTTTGTTAAGCTCCAAAACCGTCTACGTGAGGAGAAAACGCTCAACAAATAGAGTGAAAGAAGCAGAATTAAATCTGAGATGCAAATTGAGCGAGAAGAATATGAAGTCAATTAGAGGGAAACAATTCGTGTAAAAAGAAAATAAAAACAGAAAAGTGAGACTCGGAGTTCTAAATTTAGCGCTGCCTAATCATGCAGCATTTAAAAAAAAGTGATGCAAAAATATGGTAGACGCATCTTGTGGGCAATAAAATTGATGTGAAGCCTTCCTTTTTCAAAAGCCACAGATTTAGACATATGTCTTTATCTAAGTTTTGTTTCGGAGCAGTGATTATTGGCTCGCATTATTGCTGTTTGAAGATTCCCGTTGGAAGAGAGCGGGGATTATCAGATATGTTTCGACAACTCATTCAGTTATCAGACGCGAAAAGTTGTTTTCTTCGAAATTTATTTACTGGATGAGAATGGGAGCTTCGACGAAACAAACATGATGAAGGAATTTGGCCCTATGAAAAAAGAAGACAGTGAATTAGGCTTTGAACTAAAACAGTTCCAGGTTTGTAAATACTAAGCACATAAGAATTAGCTCGATATTTAGTCCAGTTATGCTTTTCAATGTAGCGTCCCCAGTGTTAAATAATGAAGGTGGTAACATCTATCCTGACATTTGATTTCCCACTTTCTTTTCCAGAAAGGAAGTGCTGAATATATAGCGTTTTCTGCGCAGCATGTGTATAGAGGAGGTGGGGGAAGGGCGGGGGATGGGGAAGTCAGAAATTATTGCACTTTTGCGGTTAGTTTAATAGAAAGTTGATAGTGTGGTGAGCATTTGTGAA